CGGGTGGTAGGAAACAGAACTAGCTGTAAAGGAGATGGTTTTGGAGAAGAATAAGGACACTTTTCCCCACAGACATCCGGAAAGGGAAAGAGAAGATAATTATGAGAAAAGGATAAGGAGAGTAAAAAAAAAAAAAAAAATGTACAAAAATTGAAGTGTCACATTCTTTTTGATAGAATAGGTGGAGATGATATGCCAAGGAAAGGACAGGACAGCTGGGACTGGGGGCAGGGAAAGAGAGAAAAGGTCTAAAATAGCTCCCACAGGGAGAGCGCCTGGGAGTACAGAAAAGACAATTAAAAAGACTGCCAAATAGCAGCAGAGAGCAGATTGAAGTTTGAAAGCATCCAGTTCTAATGAGCCAAATCTGCAATGCTGTTTGCCTCTAGCAGTGCTCTCTCTCCTGGGAAAAGAAGCAAAGGGAACCAGAGTTAGAGGTAACAAAGGTTTAGGAATTTGCTGGACCAGTAAAGAAGCAAAGGTTATTAATGAAGAGGCAAAGCCTGTGCTGCTGGTTGGGAGTGAAGATCCAAAATCATTTGAAGCAAGGAAGGCAGCAGTGCCGGAGTCTAATCACGGACGAGTATTTCCAAGGAAGGAGGGAAAGTAATTATTGTGAGTTCTAAGCTGAAAGCTAAAACTTTCAAGGAAATTAGAAAGCTTCTCATTTCCCACCACCACCACCATCACTCCTGCTGAGACTGGAGGAATGGGAAGAAGCAAATCTAAGAGACCAGAAGATTTTTTTTCCCTTTTTTATGTATATCGATAGGAAATTTTTTTTTCCAGAGGATTGCTGTGAAGTGAGCAACTTTGTGTGTGTGTGTGTGTGTGTGTGTGTGTGTGTGTGTGTGTGTGTGTGTTGGGGAAGGGGGGATGGATATTACCACTAATACAAAAAAATTGGTAATTGCCTAAAGTTTTATGCATTTCGAAGGCATTAGGGTCACTCATTTTTAAATAAACTACAAGGCAATCCACTAGAAAAAAAAGTGTATTTTGTTTGTTATACACAATTTGAGATTTCTACCATATAAATACAGGCTTTGCTTTTGAATCAAATCCCAATGCTTCCCATTGGCTCAACACAGTCTTCTGTAGTGCAGAGATGGCCTCTTCACCTCTCGGACCTCTCACTCCACTCTCCACATTGTTCACTCTGCTCCAACCACCTCGGCCTTCTTTTAGTTTCTGAAATAAATCAAGCTGATTCCCAACTTGGGACCCTTGCTGGCCATGCTGTTTTCCCAGACAGGCCCGGGAGGACCTTCTTGACAGTCAGGTCACCTCAGAGAGGGGTCACCTCAGAGAGAACTCTTCTGTCAACATAAAGTGCCCCGAGATGCACTCTTTATCCCATCACCTGGTTTTGTAGTGCTTTTTATTTCTGACACATTTTACCTGATAATAGCTTGCTTATTTATTTTTTGTGTTTTGCCATCTGCCTCCTCCACTCAGAATAAGACCTCCATGAGGAAAGGGATTCTGGCTGTCTTGGTCACCACCATATTGCCAGCATTTCCAATACTACCAAGCACACAGCATACATTCAATTATTTTCTTAATGAATGAATGAATGAATGATAATGAACTTAGTGTTTTAATGTTAAACATGATGGAAAGTTACACTGTGTATATGTTCATTCATAAGACTGTGTACCAAAAAACATGAGAGGTAAAAATGATTATTATTGCTATCTCAAAACATCCCCAAATACCATATCTGTCTTATTATAAGCAATAAATATATTTTTTAAAGATTTTATTTATTTATTTATTTAATTGACACAGAGAGAGAGAGAGAGAAACAGCGAGAGAGGGAACACAAGCAGGGGGAGTGGGAGAGGGAGAAGCAGGCTTCCCACAGATCAGGGAGCTCCATGCGGGGCTCGATCCCAGGACCCTGGGATTATGACCTGAGCCGAAGGCAGTCGCTCAACCAACTGAGCCACCCAGGTGCCCCTATAAGCAATAATTATTATGAGAAAGAAAACTTGATTGTGAATGGAAGGATAAAGGAGGAAATCTCCCTGAAGATGAACCTAAATATATCTCAGTAAAGATACAAATGATCAAATGGACAAAAAAATGTTTCTGCTATTTTTGCCAGGCTGAGAGAGGTCCAGAACTATAGACAGATTTTACAGAATTTGAACAGTGTGGGATTTAATTAGTTAGGGCACATACACAAACAAGATGTCAGATAAATTTTCCACAAAATAATTCTATAAATTATGAGTAATGTTTTTGCTGTTTGTCTTGCTATATTATAGCTAGAAACAGGCTTAAGTAAGAGGTTAAGAAGAAGCAGATTTTAATCTTTTTTCCATAAATGGCAACTCAAAATAAGAAATTCAGTCCCCAGTCAAGTTTCACACTTTCTGTGGAAAGTATTCTCTGCCAGTTCATTGTTACCAAAACAAAACAAAAAGAAGAAAAAGAAAAAAAAAGGGGGGGTAGGAAACGTTAAAATCTGCAGTCTTTTTTTTTTTTAAAGATTTTATTTATTTATTTGAGAGAGAGAAAGAATGAGAGAGAGCACATGAGAGGGGTTAGGGTCAGAGCGAGAAGCAGACTCCCTGCCGAGCAGGGAGCCCGATGCGGGACTCGATCCAGGGACTCCAGGATCATGACCTGAGCCGAAGGCAGTCGCTTAACCAACTGAGCCACCCAGGCGCCCAAAATCTGCAGTCTTAATGAACAGTTTTATGTACAAAACTCCTAATTACCTTATGTAGGATATTATTAACCAAAATCCTCTGAAATCTGATGAAGATGTATCAATTAAGTCCATACACAGGTATATTTTCAAAACAGCCCACTTCAGTATTCTCTTAAGATGCCCATATGGAAGTCAAAAATCAAAAGGTTAATGAATAAGGAAACTTTAGATGAATCCAAATTGAGAGACGTTCTACAAAATACCTGGCCTATGCTGTTGAAGTACATCAAGGTCAAGAACACAAAGTAAGGTTGAAGAACTATTCCATCTTGAGACTGAGGAGACAAGTAAACAAGTGAAGGGCATAATCCTTAAACTGACGTTGAATGGGGCTGGTGGGGTCAGGGTACTGGTGGAGGGTAGCTACAATGGAAATTACTAGGACAACATGAAATTTGAACAAGGACTGTGAGCTAAATGGTAGTATTCTATCATTGTTACATTTCCTAATTTTTTTCTTAATTGCACTGTGATTTTGTAGGAAAATTTTCTCATTCTTAAGAAAAACAAACTAGGGATAAATAGGAAAAATTAATGGATGGATGGATGGATGGATGATAGATAGATGAATCAATCTGTCGACTGACTGGCCTAATGAAAAATTTCTAAGCCCATCAAGTGAAACAGAGACCTCACTCATGTCAGTGATTAGAATAACAATAAGTAACTAGTAAACAGATGTGTCAAAGACAGAACCATATGCTATAAGAAATAAATCAATAGAAATTACATCTGTTGTTTAAGCCCTAACAATATATTATTACTTCATTAAATGAGACAAATAAAAATTAAAGATGAAATGTAAGATTTATTGAACTAAGAACTTTTGTAATTGATTTCATTATTTATCAATAGATGGTATATTAGAAATATACAATGACATCATTTCAATTTTAAGTTAAAAATATAATTGGAGGATTTAAACCATAAAATAGTCCACAGAAATAGAATTCCAGATATAGATTGCTGATTTAAATCTTTACTCACTGTCCTTAAAAAATCTTAATTTTTAAACTGAAGCACTAATAATAATAAAAATAATAGTAATACAGTAAGCAGCTCTGAGGTGGTTATTACATCATTCTGACTTTACAGAGAAGAAAAAGAACCTTATAGAGATTAAGTATCTTCCCCAAAATTGAAACAGTGGTATGTGACAGATGTACAAAGATTAAAAGGCTTGCCTTCTGCTCCTTGGACAAAACTTTATACCATGGTGGGAGGTTTTTCATTATGTAACATCTCCCATCTTAGTATAAAGCTTGAACATGTCCATGTTACTGCCAATGTTACTTTCAAAATTGCTATAGTTTTACATAATGATTAGCATTTTAAGATTGAAATGATATTGGTAGAAAAAAAGGAGAGCTAAAATATTTCTTGCTTTTCATTACTCGTAGAAAGGGCAAAATTCAAGATACACATACATGCATTTATTGTATATATATGTGTGTGTGTGTGTGTGTGTTTGTGTGCGTGCACGTGAGTAGAGATGTATAGATATTATATTGTTCTCAACTATCTAGCAGGTTCCAAACCAACTGGGCAATACTCAGACCCCAAATAATATACTCTGATTCACTGTTTCTTTCCTTTGTAACCTTATTCTCCCCACAGTGTAGCAAACTGTGAATAATATTTGGAACATACCAATGTTATAGTGCACCTTGAGGAATAACATAGAGCACATAGCTATACCGAAGCAGAAAGAGAAGAAAAATCTCTTTAAAACATTTTTTTGGTCAAGGTTCAGCTGAGGAAATCTACTGACCCACTTTGAAATTAAAATGCTGCTTTAGCACAGACACACATAGGAGGGAATTTTCCACTGAGGCTGCACATAGTAGCATATCAAAGCTCTACCAGTGACACCCCAAATCACCAACCCCAAGGCAAGAATATGCATGCTGAGTTTAGGCAGCTCACTAATTACCCTGAATTTATTTTAACCTTAAATCTTTAAAAAAATATATGATTATAGGAAATCCAACTTTGCAATTAGACTAGAATATCATAATCATTTCTAGGAGTCATCTGGGTTTCCTTTTTTTTTTTTTTTGCTGTATTCCTGAGTAAACATTACATATGCAATTATGACAACAGTAATCTTCATTTTCAAAGTGTTATCAACTTAATGTCACAAAGAAATAAGAGATAAGTCATTACTTTCAATATTGTGAACTGAGACATTTCGACCAATTCATGACAGATATTGTGCATGTAATATTAATGTTATTATAGAATAAAGAAACTTGATGACATATCTGTTATTACTCACCAGTTGTTTCCACAATGCCTTCTAGGATGACGACAATCTCGAACTGTTCAGTTTGCATGCTTCGCTGCGATAGGTCATAAAAGGGGCTTTTGGCATCAATCACGTGGCAAATTGTGAGGGGGGAAACAAGAAAAAGTTGATCTGCCCCTGTACTAAAACCTACATCCAGTTCAAGTTGGTCAAGGGGAAGGAACTCACCCTCAGGTGTCTGCCGAGACTAGACAAGCACACAGAAAAAGAGAAGAAATCACCACTTGTACTGAAATTTTCAAGGCAGCCCAACAGTAATTTACATCATTGCCAACATTCTGCACTATCAATCATCTGCAACAAAATCCAAACAAATCATTATGCAGCTATGTTCTAGCAAACGGGCCGAAATCCCACATAGCTCATGGGGAACATACATGCATTATTTATAATATACGACTTACTATAATTATCATTCCCTAACTCATGAGCTTTGGAGAAATGCCTGGTCCAACAATGGCTGTTAGCACAAACTGTGGAACTGAGTGTACATGTGCTACTGCCTGACATAAATCACTTCAGGATAACTCACTGCATGCCAGATTTGTTTTCCTCACAAAGCAAATAAGCAGGCAATTCTTAGGGAGTTTGTTAAAGCTGAAAAAGTTGATCATTAATTTCAGAAAAGATTTACTGCATGGTTACAAAGCAAACCAATAATTTTTCTAGGGTAACAGATAGATATAAACTTTAATATAAAAGTGAAGATGATATCCTATTATGTTATGTACCCAACAGTTCACATAATACAAAGAAAAGGCTGTTAGCTGATGGCTTTCAAACTCCCAATAATAAACGGCATTAAAGTTGTTTAGCTTTCTATTTATCTCATGAATTTAAAAAACATAGTGTAAAAACTGTGCTACATCGAAGTTTTTTAATCAAAATACAATTAAGAATCTATACTGGGTAAATTTTCAGTTTCCTAAAACTTTCATAAGGTAGTGGCATTCGGTATCAGCATAAATCATGATAAAACTTAAATTGCTTACACGCTAAAACTCTGAACAATTACCTAAAAATGACTATTAACAATTAGCAAACCATGAAAGTTAACTTCTTTCTTTTCTATTCATTCTTATTTTATATCCATATCTGTTCCTTATAAAGATCATATAAGCAAATATTTGTTTGATTTAAAAGATGGTGCTGGTAAAATAAGGGTTAAATAGTTGCATACAGAAAAATCTGCAGGGTTGGGAGCTTGCTGCTGCTCAAATCTGCAGGGGTGGGGCTTGGTAGAATCCAATATATTTAACAGAATCTGCACAGTTCATTTAATAAACAAAACCCGAATCTGTAACACTGGTCTGTCCAATGAAGTGATGGTTTAAAGACAAACTCCTTACTTTTTGGTAAGGTTAGGGTTCCAAAAAATACCTTGGCTTTTTAAGTGGAGTAAATGAGTCTGAAAACACTAGGAAATACAGTTTAGTAAGCTGCCCTCTTATGGCAAAACTGAACCAAGTTAGTGGTAGACTGTTAATGGCAGCAACTGCAGGGTCTTAACAGCAGAATCAATTTAGGCAGGCTACTTTGTAATTAGTGATACTCAGGAATTTTATTTGTGTAGAAAAAAATCCACTGAAAATGTTGGGACTATTCTTCTTGTGAGTAGTTGGCTAAAAAAGAATAAGAAGAAAAAGAGGAAGGAGAAGGAGGAGGAAGAGAAAGCAATAATTAGTGACAAGAAAAAAAAAATCCATGGAAAAACCTGATGATCCAAAAATAAAAACAGTAGCTCTAAAAACCAATGATGGAGAAAACTAGACATTTCGAAGCCAGTAGAAATTAACCTATATTTATAACTTATTCACAAATTAGTAAAATATGGATGAGACCAGCATCCTTCCAACTAGAAAACTGTATAACAAGTATTGATTAATACTACAAAATAAAAGCCAAAAACAAAACAAAAACAAATAAAAACAAAAACCCTGCGTCATTGTTCTCTCACCTAGTAAGAAACAGGTGCTATATAAACACAAGGTGGTATTCTGATGTTTATAATTAGTGAACAGTATTTGGGTCATTTCACTAATTATTCTAAGGTCTGCTTTTTCTGTACTAAATGAAAATGATAAAAATAATTCCTTAAAAACTCAATTTCCCATTTATTTTAAAATAATTCTCCCCCCAAAAGATGTACTTTTCTAATTTTTATATATATACACACACATCAAAACTCAAATCAATCTTCCCTTTTTATATATTTGCTATTTATGCCTGTGCCTCATTCTAAAAGGCTGTAATCTATTAACTTTCATATTTCCTGATCATTCATCAAACCATGAAGAGAAGTGACCTAGAAACAAGCTATCAGGAGAATGCCAACCTAGAATAAGAAACGTTTCATTCTTAGCAAAGCAGTTAACTCATATATAGGTAACTTAGACTTGAATATATATGACTCTGTTCCATTCAGACTCCATCCTCTGATTTTAAAAATTTGTTTTATATATTCAAAATTATATCTATGTTCCTCTTCCCAAAAATGCTTTATATCCTATCCAAGTCTTAGCAGAAACAAAGTTGACAACTGTACCTATTATGTGACACTATGGGGAAAGTAAAACTTTCATTACTTTAAAAGGTGTTTTCCATGCTTAGGTATTTTTCAGATGAGTAAAATTCTTGGCATATTCCTCGAAAATTATTTTCCAGTGGATGCCATATAATTTAACCTTTCTTTAAATGATTCTGAGACACTACAGATATCCACAATTTTATCTTTTGGGTCTTCTTCCTTCATGTTAGGCCAGCAATCTAAGGTTGACTTTATTTGGCGAAATAATCATTTAGAATCTTAAAATGACTGAATGAATAAGAGAGTGAGAAAGAAGCACAAAAACAAAAGAGTTCATGGAAAACTGGTAATTCTTAAAAATTTAGCACACAATTTAAAAACACTAGGACCTGAGAATGACTTCCATATGACTTTTATTTTCAATTGTATGGAATTTGGGGAAGCAAATAAGCACTTTTCTGGTTGACAGCATTATAGCAATTCCTGGGAGATAAGAAAACAATTTTAAAAACCGAAGGCTTAAAATTTAAATTTACTGTATAAAAAATTATAAGCAGAACATCATGGATTTTTGAAATGGTTTTGTACAATTCAGAATGTGTTAATAATTTCTAAGTTTTTCTTCATATAAAAATATTGCTATTTAAAAGTAGTATTTCAATTATATACATTTTAATTATATGTAAATGTGGATATGTGTAAAAGTTAAGGCTTATGCTTCATCTTACAGTTACATGTACTGATTTCAAAGAAGCAGCTAATACCAGATGACTTTGAACTCCCTTAAAGTCTAAAAGAGGCCTACCAGATAATCAATTACAAATCCTGATTAAAGGTGGAAAGAGATTCAGAAGTCACAGATGCCTGGAAGGGATTATCAATGTCATGGACTTTACAGATAAATAGCTTTCATATTACAGATGAAAGACTATTGAGTACATGTCCCAAGACACACACACACACACACACACACACACACACACGCCCTCTGGGATGCACATTTAGAACTGCCCTGGCATATGCTCCTTCTTTGAGATTTGTGACCAGTTGTCCACATTCATTCAACAGAAACACACTCCACCAATACAATCAATCTCTTTGCAGCCTTTCTCCCATTTCTCTAGCCCATAACGGTGTTCTAATTATAACCATTGTGCTCTTTCCTAGCTCAGAGGGAGGCTAAGGGAATGGTGAAAAGAACATTTAATCACTACCATCTGATTCATGAGATGTTCCTCTATCATACTCTGAGGCTTGTCCTGTGCCCCACCACCTCCCACTAGTGTCCACTGGAGAAGGGTGCTGAGGGCCAGCGGTCAGGAAAGGAAAAGACAGGAAAGGAAACTAAGATGGAGAGGGCAAGCCCTCCTTGACGCCCACCTCCCGCCATTTTACATTTATCTGTAATTTCATTTCTCCTCTTTAAATGTGCAGTGTGTGTGTGTGTGTGTGTGTGTGTGTGTGTGTGTGTTGAATATATGCTGAAGTCACCAAGAAAAGCACAAATGAAATGAGGCTGGAGTGCTATCTGCAAGCTACAATTAGGAAATAAGCCAAAAGCAGTACTAGAATAAGGAACAAGAAATGCCCTGTGACTCAAAGCAGTTCTGGCAATGGTTTTGGGACTCAGACCAAAATTCAAGTCAGGTAGAGGAGAGTATGGACCTAGAATTTTATCTGGGCTGTCTTTAATTAAATTGTGCGTTTCTTCTGGACTCCATAAGTTTGAAATTCTGTCAATATTCAGTTCGAAAAAATAGGACTAACATCAAGTCTAAAATAAAAAATGTAATGCTAAGATAATCATCCCATAAAAATATGTTTATTTTTATGTAAAGAAAGTACTTTACAGAATGGAATGGAATTTATCTGGTAATAAATTATGTGAGGCTTTTATACTTTTCAAATGAAAGAACAGCTTTATAATTCCTTGAGGGTCTTTTATGGAATTTATAATAACTGTGGACAGGATTTGTAACCCTACATGCACATTTTCCTCCTACTCACCAAACACCCTCAAATCCATCAAATGCTTTTTCCTACTTCTCTTTATCATTTGTTCTCACCTACTGCTGTTTATTTGTAGGTCTTTATGTCCCTTATTTCTGTTCACACTGTATTCCCCTGAGCACAAGCCACCCTGTATTTTTCAGGAACCATATTAAAAAAAAAAAGTTACTATTATTTTTTAAAAGAATGAGAATTCTACTTTTAAAAAAACTTCTGTACCTATTGGAGAACTGTACTTGTGTCAAAGAAAGCAAAGCTAGACTAAGTAGGAACTGTGCTTTCTCTTTAAAAACATAATGAATCCACCTGAAAAAATCACCGAACATTATAGCATCTAGCCCCAAGAGTTCTGGGGAACTCAGTCTTAGGTTCCTTGAACATTTTTACTGACAGCTTGTATGATACTGAGAACAGGTGTTTATTAAGTATCCATTTGTGGATTTAATTTTTTGTTAAAGGAGGTAACTAATTATCTCAAGATCAAAACTAAATTGGCCAAGACCAATTGGTAAAAAGAGTCAGTCATACAAAATAAAGTCACATAGACTCAAACACCTAACTGCATTTCAGTGCATTGTATGAAATGAAGACAAACAAATAAATATAAGAAAAAAAATCAGGAATCATGTGGTCCAGAAATCACTGTGGTTAAAAACTTAACAAAAGGTTAGGACATATGAAGAGGATGAAGAGCTTATTGGTTTCAAAAACAATAATTTTGTTTTTTATTGCCTCTGCACTTGCTCACATTCATATGGGGAAACCAGATAGCATTCAAAATGAGTATCCATATAAACAGAAAATAAAAGACGTGAATACGAAAAGAATATATATGATACATCAAAAGGTGACTGCACACCATTACCTTTCAATAAGTGAAAGTTAAGGGTTGCAAAGCTGCACTCCTAGGAAGGAAAGATAACTATTTGCAATGAATAGCAATATGAAGAAGTATAATTATACTTCCATGAGAAAAATTTATCCTTATTTCTATCTTTTAAAATATGGATCCAACAATAATTGATTTTAAATTTATTTTATGTAAGTAAATATAGTTTGCCTGGGTGCCTATATAAATACATGATGGCTTCTGGAAAATAAGCTTCTAAATTCGTGAACAATGTATCAAGAAAGATTATTTAAATCTTCCCTAACAAGATGTTATATCTAGGGCAGTCAACCATTCCTGTTAGATTTATAGAAAGGAGTAAGTATGATTTCCAAATCCTTTAAACCCACCACTAAATGACAAGGTCCAGAGTTTGAGCCATTAGCCTCATGTCTCAGGCATTTCTATTAACACTTTCAGCTAGATGATACGTTAACTTAACATGACCATGCTATTCATTAGTTCCTAGCATCTAGAATTTAAAAAAAAGAAGGTAACTAAAATAAATTGAAAATCCAAATAAAACATCGATATGGGGATGAGAAGAGGAAAAGAGAAAGAATATTCATTTTAAAAGAGTTTTCTGTAGTTTTATTTATAATCAAATTACAAATTTCAAAGAGTAACTTCCAATTATATCCTTTAATTTTTTTATTTCTGAGCAGAAAAAAGACCGACCACTCCAGGCATAAGGCTGGAAGATCTATATTTGAATATCGAATTTAATTGCAGTATTTGCAAGCTTGAAAGACAGGAATAGAGTTGAAATAAAATTTGCCTTCACATAGGGGCGTGTGGTTGGCTCAGGAGATAGAGCACGTGACTCTTGATCTCAGGGTCCTGAGTTCAAGCCCTATGTTGGCTGTAGAGATTCCTTAAAAAAATTTTTTGCTTTCATATAAGTCAATAACATAATTAAAAATAAGGCAGAGAAGTTATAAAAAAAACTTTTAGCAAAACTTAGAGAATTCAAAATAAATATGCATGAAAATTCATAGTAGCAAGGATAAGAAAGCCATATCCATGTTCTTACAGTCCTCCCAAGAATAGAAAGCACTTTATAATTATTAAATAGAACTCTTACATTAATACTGATAAGCTTTTATTCAAAAAATAAGAAAATAACAATAGAAAAATATAAATGAAGTTAAATTAGATAATAGGAAGAACATAGCCTATATTTATTATCATTGAATATGTTTTCGTTGCCATAAAATTCCAAATATTTCTCTATATTAAAAATACATCAATCTTAGATTTAAAATGTCAAACAGGGGTTAAAAGAGGGAGCTAACTATGTGTAATAATATTTAACAAGAAGACTACCTAAGACTGATATCAAAACATTCCACTTATTACTTTAAGATTATGGTATAGCTCCTCTTTCAAAATATAGGTGGCTGTTTTAGGTCACTTCAATCTCAGTCCCTAAGAGAACATGAGAGTAACTTATTAAAGGCAAATCTCCCCTCTAATTTTGCTGAATGTTACTAGTTCCCTAATAAAACAGGACTCCTTTTTAATGAAGTCTAAGGAAATGACAAGAGCTATGAGAATTCATTTTAATTACTATGGCTACAGGAAAAATCAACTCAAACAAACAACTGGCTGGTGAAGGGCTGCCAATGACCAACCCTCTCACTTCACAGACAGCAGGGCATCATTTCACCATAGTTCTGCTTAAATATAAATCAATACCACATGTCAATTATTTTTACTCCTAGCACTGACATCTTCTAACAAAAGTAAAGAATTTTATAAGAATATTATATATGTATCATTTTAATTAGATGTTGTCTTATCACCTTGTGTTAATATAGCACCCTGCTCCAAATTTGTCAACACCATAAATCTTTTCTTGTTTTTAATCAGGACACTCCTTACAGTATATGTGGTACATGGCCTTTGTACAAAAAATCATTATCAGTGTCCTGAACCACAGTTAGCCTGGATACTTCAGATTCATGGTACATTCGTAAAGAACAGAACAAAACAAAACACACACACACACACACACACACACACACACACAGCAAACAAAAAACTGGTATGTAGATTAATTCTAATTATTCTGGCTCTGTTAAAACACAATTTAATAAAGTCTAGAAGCATCTGGAATACGTTGCCTCAAAAGATACTTGTTTTAATAAATGACTTCATATATTTGAAAAACTAGAGAACAGCAATAAATGACCTTTAAAGCCTAATTTTAAATTTCCAATATCCAATCACTATCGTAAACTAGTCTTCAGTAAGAATCTCAAAGTGACACATAAACATGAGTTCCTTGACAGAGCTGTTTGCACTGTATTAACGAGGTGTTCCTCTCCTCCACGTAGGCCTGACCTAAAAAGAGAGATTATATATCTTGATCTATTCATAGAAATAGGCACATACAACTAGCACCAAAGCAATAAACATGTCTATGATACAACTGCTTTGCCTAATCCAAACAACTCACTTAGTTCAAATAGTGGTCAATAACACAATGTGCTAAGTTACATAAAAACCAGTATGCAGCTCATTGAAATTAATTATGAAGAACATGACCTCAAATTACTTATCCATAGTTATCTAAATGAACATGCACATCAAAACTAAGTTGAAAATTTGCCACTAAGCTCTACAGAAGTTAGTGTGTCTTCCTGTTTATAGTGTATGATGTGTAGTGACAGGACAACTGAATTATGTTAAGTCTAACACTTTACTGAGCAACATGATGAAGAGTAATTAGGGTAAGATCTTATAAATAAATAATGAAAATGACAGAAGAGCCAAACTTTTTTAAAGCACTTTTAACTACAACATAAGTTGAGGCCATGTAAGACAATATACTTGCAGAGTGGAATTGAAATTTCAAAGGCAAAATCTCAACTTAAATATTCATCAGATTTTCATTTTATTAATGCTAAATTCTGAATCTAGCTATGGTTCTCTGTGCAACCTAGATAACTTTTTAAGATTTTATTTGAGGTCATCTTTTTCAATTTATGAACATTTGAAAACTACCTAAGGCAAATGCCTCAAAAAGTTGAATTAAAAAAAAAAGTTGAATTGTAAATGACACATAGAGAGAGAACTGAACTTTTTATTTCTCATCCCTAGGCTCTAACTGGGTAAATGCTTAGGGTGGGCTTCTCTTGTTTATAGTGGTGCCCTTTAAGGACTAGATGGACCTTGCTTTACTAACCACTCCATGTGCAAGCTGTCTTAGCATTTATACTGAGGATGGTAAGAAGCAATCTTCTTTAATGGATGCTGAAAAGCTTCAAGTGTAATCTGTAATTGACAAAGGCTTCATAGTAACTGGCAATTAAGAATAAAAGTAACAAGAGGCTCTACAGAAAAAGCACTCAAGCTTTCACAGAATAATTCTCTAGGAAAATATTTAGTAAAAATAAAAATTTAAAAGAACCAGGTGTTGTTTCGTCCGCATTATTAACTGCTTTTCGGGTCACTGCGCTTGTTAAAAAGATGACCATACAGTTAATATTATTGAGTATAAAGAAATAATCCACCTGCTAATACTGTTAGGAGGAAAAAAAGAAATAAAGAAAAAATAAAGCCCTAAGCGAAAGTTAAGGCAAGTTCAGCACCTATTTCTTCAAAATAGAAGCTGCTCAGTTTTAGTACTTCAAGATTAGTGGAGCAGTGTGTATTGACAACATATCAGAAACTCTTTAAAGAGCAAAGCAGCAAGGGTAGGGAGGACAAGGCACTCTACCTCAAGCCTCCAGGGGCCAACACCACTCCGTAAGTGTTACTAGTCAGAAAGTGATACAAGCACATTCGAATAATTAATTTAAATAAGAGCACGAGAGTGAGTGGAAAAGGAACAGAACTGTCAGCTGTCCTCTAGTTGCGCAATCCTCCACGCCACCCCGCTCCACTCCACCCCCCGCGCCCTCAGGGACGTTTACCTGTGAGTAAGGTTAGACTAAAAACCGGGGAAGAGTCCTCCGGTGAGCTATTTTCCGCCGTTGAGGGTGGGCGGCAGCCAGGAGGGGAAGGGGCGGGTAACACTTACTTTGAGCAGCTTACAGCGGATCTGCGCGGAGACCATGTGGCTGTTGCGCAGGTTGCCCACCCGGAACATGAGCGTGAGTTTTCCGTCCCTCATGGAGATGACCGCGTGCTCGCTAAACATCAGGGTCTCCGCGCGCTTCTTGGGCTGGGACATCTTGATGAACATGCAGCCGATGAGGAAGGCGTCCACGATGGAGCCGAGGATGGACTGGAAGAGGAAGAGGATGATGCCCTCGGGGCACTTGTCGGTGATGTAGCGGTAGCCATAGCCGATGGTAGCCTCGGTCTCGATGAAGAAGAGGAAGGCGGAGGGGAAGTTATAAACATTGGCCACGCAGGGCGTGTAGTTGCCGACGTGGGCTTTGTTCAGGTCGCCCCGAGTGTAAGCGATCACCCACCACATGGACGCCATGAAGAGCCAGGCCACGGTATAGGTGAGGATGAAGATGAAGAGGTTCCAGCGCCACTTGAGGTCCACCAGGGTGGTGAAGAGGTCCGAGAGGTAGCGGCTCGTCTCGCTGCCCAGGTTGCCGTGCTGTACATTGCACCGGCCGTTCTTGTCCACGAACCGCTGCCGCTTCTTCTTGGGCACAAGCTGCTGCTGCGGGCCCTGGCCCGGCCCCTGGGGCTGCAAGCCCGAGCCGCTGGACGAGGTGGTCACTACCTGGTAATCGTCCCCAAATTTCCTTCGGAGTGCAGACATAATACGGAGGGACGAGCCAGATTCAAAACGCGAAGCGGAGGCGCAGGGGCCGAGCGCTGCAAACCAGCACCAATAAGGAGGTGGGGGCGGGGGAGAGAGGGGGGACAAAAGCGAGCGCGCCCGGGGTGGGGGGCGCACCCGGCAGGTAGCTGCGGTCTCTGCCCCCCGCTGACTCCTCTCTTCCCCTGGGACGGAGGCTTTCTCTCCAAGCTGAGTCTTAAAACAAAAAAGTGTTCTCCCGCACTCAAGGTAGGAGGGATGCAAGGACCAAGAACCCAAGCGCAATTTTGCCTCCAAGCTTTTCGAGGCTTCTCTTTTCCTCCCCCACCATCGGCATCCCGGGCCACCTCTCGCCTCGCCACAGCCCTCCTGACTACGCTGCAGCACTCCCAAACTGACTTTTAAAATTAACGAGTTGACGGGTGAGTCCCACCCCACCTGCCAACTCGCCAGGCTGCCGAAACTGCGCTACCTGCTCGGACCCGACCCTCCCCCCCCCCCCGCAACTCCCCCCCCCCCCCCCCCCCCCGGGCACTCCCGCCTCCTATCTTTTGGCCAAAATCCCGCCCAGAGGCATGTCTGCAGGGCACTGGTGCAACACCCCCCCACCCACGCTCTCCGGGCTCAGAGTCCCCGGCTCCGGACTCCAGAGACGCGCTCGCCCGGCGTCCGCCGGCCGCAGAGTTTCCGCGGGCGCCCCCGGGGCCCTCCCTCCGACTCTCAAGGGCCCCCAGGTCGCCCCCGCGCCCAGCGGAGACGCGGCGGTGAGCGAAACCCGAGCACTCACCCACCGGGAGAGAGCAGGAGGCGGCGCAGCCGGCGGCAGCGGCAGCCTGGCCTCGCACTCCGCGCTCAAGGCTGTTTTCCTCACCCCCACTTTTCCTGGTGTACCACGGTGGGCACCAGTGCAGGTCCCCCAAGCTCCACACCTCCCTGAGGGCACCACGCTGCCCCCAACAGGAGGATCCTGGAGCGCCCGCACGGACTGACTTGGGCGCGGGACTTGAGGGTTCCTTGGCGCCGTGCTCTCTTAGCAGGCGACAGCGGTGCTGCTGTAAGGGGTTCGAGCCTCGAGCTGCCGGTCAGACTTTCAGGTTAAATACCAGCGCCGCTTCAGCCCTTCTTCTGCTTCACGGTGCCTACCTTTGCCTCTTCCCTCCTCGGTCCCCCACTCCCTGTCCGCGCCTCGGTGGCTCCGGGTAAGATGCTTGGAGCGAGCAGGGGCGGCGGGAGAGTGGTGTATGCGCTGGTGCGTGTGATCAGCTGCAGAGCCGCGCTAGCCCCGCCTGTCCCTGCCTTCCCCCGCTGTTCCACCAGCCTGAATTGCACCTCCGCGCCTCAGTTGAGCCCGCAGTGTCTGACAGCTCAGGAAAAAGCGAACCCCTCCAATGAGGTGCAACTCTACATCCGCTCCCGAATGCCAGCCAACTCTCCTTCCTGGCCTTCCTGCCTCAAGTCCGAAAGAGCCCAGCAAGCAGCAAATGCTGCCCTCCGAGAGAAGTAACAATACGTCCCTGTAACTAGGGCTCTCATTTAAACCGATGGGTGGATGCACCATAAACAGAGAAACCAACTGGCTCCACAATGAGCATGTTCAGAACTCAAGAGTTGCAAGTAGCAGAGGGGGCCTTAGGATGGGAACTGAAGGGAGGGGAGACATTAATGGGAAAATTCACAATCCTCTCTGAAAATGACTCTGTTTGAAATGCTCAGAATGAACACAGTTAATGTGTGGCTGTAAAGGAGGGAAGAAAGCTGGACTTTAATGACCCCGGGCCTGGCAGTTAACTTAATGGAGGGGCAAAGTGCAGAAATAGTTAATATAGTGCCCATGTGTCAATATCAGCTTATTTACCACATTTCATGTTCGTTTTAAATTGCCATTCTATCTTACAGCCTATTCCCTTCAGTTCAGATTCGTGAAATTGATTTTGTTGGAAAATCATCAAATCGTGGTGTTATAAAAGCAAAGGGCTGCTGTGAGACTCCCATGCAAATGAAAATTAGTACATAATCATTCTACTAGTTCTCTGCCAATACCCCCTTCTACCTCTCTAGCCCTAAACCCTAATGCAGGTAAGCCTTGCACCTTGTCAGCCATAAGTAGAGAACTCTCACTGTCATTTGGTCTCTCACTGTCATTTGTCATCTATCCCAAGTTACAGAGTGTTCTCCTGCAGGCTCTCTGATAAGAGGTCAGTAACTCTGTTATTCTTTAGGATTACATAAGAAGGGAAAGTGACACTGTGGGAAGTGGAGACTGCTGTGGGTCTGCAATCATAAGACCTGATTTGAGTCCTGGCCTTGCCATTTACAAACTCTGTGACCTTGAGCAAGTAGCTAAACATCTTTGAGCCCCAGTCTTTGGCTCTGGAAAAGCAGAGTCTTAACATTTTCCCAATGTTGGTTTTATTAACTATTTTTGCTGTGAAGGATGTTATATACTGGGCTGTAAAGTTGCAACAAGGCCAAGAGATTAGGAATGAGTTTTGGGGGTTGGCCCCATGCTGTTACTAACACATATATTCCCTTCTCATTCCTGACTACTCTCCCCCTAACTCCCTCTGCCCTTGCCAGGCTGGCTTCTTTCAATTCCTGAAACCCACAGAGGCATAGGCCCCATCCTTGTGCCTTTGCCCTATCTGTTCCCTCTTTCTGGAGTGTTCTTGCCCTGCTGTTCCATGTTGCTGGCTCCTTCACAGTCAGTCAGCTCTCAACCTGAAAGCATCATCCTCAGGGAGGCCTTGGCTGTCCCCCAAGTACCCCCATCACACAGCGCAGTTCATCTTCATTTCATTTTCCTAGCTGCTGTTTTCTGTGTTCGTTGTTTCTCTCCCCCCGCCATCGCAGTTCCTGGCTTGTAAGCTCTAGAGGAGCAAGAACTTTGTCTATTTTGTTCACCGTTGCATCCCCAACACCTGGGACACTACCAGTCACATACTTGGGTCACCATATTTTTTTGAATCAACAACAGATATACCAACCTATAACAAATGTACCAATCTGTATCACTAGAAACTCCATGTACACTGAAACTCTCTCTGAATAATACACAATTAAAAGTCATCACCAAATCAACTACATGATTTAATATAAAAGAATGTGTCAATTTTTAAAAAGCAGTATTTTCCATGCTTATTAGCTTTGGAACTGATACTCAATGAGCTGCCAAATCCTTTTGATTGTACTACTGCAATATATCTCATGATTTTCCTCTCTCTTTAAAAAATGCTGCTTTCTTCAAATCCCCATTTGATTTTAAGCCTCAAGTCAAATGTTTTCTTGTCCTCAGTCTTTTGCTCCTTCAAACTGTCCAATATTACTAGACCTATCTCCTTAGAATCAGATAAGCTTAGCAGTGGGATGGAAACCAAAGAGTTCTCTGATTATTTCATTTCCAAACTTTTATGCATTCCCACTTTTCAAAAAACACTTCTCTATGAAAAACCTTTGTCATTTTCCAACAACCGAATTTATAAACAAATAACTTTATGCTTCGAAAGACATGGTCTAGTCTAATCCTCTCACTTAACAAAGAGGCAACTCGAAGCTGGAAAGAGAAAATAAAAGTTGCTCAATGTCACAGTGTGGATAAGTGGAAACCTTGAGATTTGAACCCAGAACAATGCATCTCCATAATCTGGGTGCTCTGCCATCCCTTACCAGGTGCCTAGAAAGGAGTGTGGGATTCCTGCTTAACAACCAGGGTCTCCTTCCACTCTGCCATCTTCTCATACAGGTTGAAATCAAAGGGCCTCCAAAATATGGCCTAATCTATCTTCCCAAAATCATCTCCCACCTTCCCTTTAGTGTGGGCTCTGCTCCAGCCAACTTTGACTCTTAGCAGTTTCCCAAACATACTCTACATTAACTTCATTTGTTCACCTTCTTTCTTGTCACATAAATATCCTTTATTCTATCCCTGCGAAGTCCAAATCCCATCACTAGCATGCAAGGAAGGGAAGGATTTCTTCAGCTTTTATTTTAAGGGCCACCCCCTCCATGAAGCTTTATTTTATTCTGCCCCTAAAAGTAATCTACCTCTTCTCTGAATTCTCATTCCCCTAGATTTGCAATGTGGCATTTATTTATTTATTTATTTATTTATTTATTTATTTATTTATTTCTCTCTAGTCTGTATTTGAGCTCAAAATTCACCAAGATTTCCCCCATAAAATGGCAAGCACCCTGACTATCCACCTCTTAATATTTTGATACTGCCCAGTACTCTGGCTCTCCAATTTTTCCTTGCTCATGGTAAATAATTAATAAAATTTTAGAGAGAACTGCAATGTTTAGCCTACTTTAATGTGTCAGGCAACATGCTTGGAACTTTACAGTTAGTATTTACATAGCTAGAAAGATGGTGGAGTAGGGATTTCAAAACATGTGTGCCCATTTTCAAGTTCCTTATTTTCTTAGAGGAACAGTACTGCCTGATAAGTTACATATGTTTCAGGATGCCATCACATCCCACTTTAAATGTGACTGAGCCTTTGACCTGTTTGTGACATTGAGTCCACTCCTTGGAAATGTTTAAAGATGAACCAAACTCATCTTCCCCTGTCAGGACAGCTGCTTCCATGATGACGTTCTGGAGGGCAGCCAGCCCCACTGTGCTGAGGCCAGGCAGGATGTGTGGGGAATAGATGACAGAAGGCCACCTAATCAGGTGCTGTTTGATGAACTGAAGTAGAAACACTGTAAACAGAATGGGTCAAAGGAAGGAGAGGCACACAATTTCAGCCAAGGCCACAAGGCCAGAAAAATCTGGAAAATATATAACTACAGAATATACAATCATTTGGAGTCTAACATTTAAAGATAGGGTGGTAGATGATAAACAGACTACCGTACAGTTCTTTGGGGGGAGGAGACAGGTCAGGGAAGGGGAATCGAGGCTATATTTAACAACAAACTCAGTTAAGAACAAGCTTCATACTTATTCTGCCCAGAAAGTGCTTCTGGCAATAGCTTATTTGCTGTGTCCAGAATTAGTAGTATCACCAATAACTAGACCTTCAAAAATAAAGGATATGATTCTGTGTCTTAATACTAAAAAGGCATGGTTTTGCACAAGCACTCACCCTATTATGTAACTGAACAGTGTAGGGAAGAGTATATTTAATGTAAAAGGAAAAAAACCCTCTGCCCTGAGAAGTCCAAATTCTAAAAATGACTTAATCGGCCAACTGTGAAAAAAGCAAGGCTTTGAACATCTCCGTACACCTGGATTCTTCTTCTCATCACTCACTTATTGCCACTGTGACTCCTACCATGTGATAGCCTGCGTGGCCAAAAACATTAATTACTCTCAGGTGAAAATGACATTGTACTTAGTATCTCTTTACTCCTAATCCTATCATTCTCCAAAGTACAATGAAGACATGGGCAGGCCTGGAGATCTGAAGTGCTTATGCTTCAAAAGGTGACACATTCCATTGCCACCATAAGTTCTGCTATATCTGGGAAGAGGTCACCC